CCACAAGCATCGACCTCGGGTCCTTACTGGTGCTCTCAGTGTATTGAGTTGTGGAAGTATACTATTAAGACCGCATGGGCTTGAAGGTGAGTGACTCCTTAGGTGGAATCCTTCGTGCATCGAGCTTGTTTTCTGCTCTGACTGGTGCCCTTTCCCGCTTCCAAGCATCTTGCAGCATGGACTGTTTCTGCGGCGCGCCGCCCGCTGTGATGAAGTCATACAAGCTGATCTACTTCGACGCTCGCGGCGTGGCGGAGACGTGCCGACTCCTCTTTGCCGCCGCAAAACAGCCTTACGAGGATGTGCGACTGTCCCTGACTTTCGGGAAGCCTGGGGACTTCAGTACCGTCAGCCGACCCGAATTTGATGACATGAAAGCGAAGGGTGATCTGGACGTCTCGCTGGGGAAGGTTCCTCTCTTGGAGGTCTCAGCCTCAGCACTTGCAATGCTTGCAAGGGAGCATTGGTGCAACGGGCAGATCTGACCCAGGTGGATGGCAAGAAGATTGGCCAGTCCAAAGCCATCGAGCGCTATCTTGCTGCTGATTTCGGGATGATGGGAGGCTCCAGTGTGGAGGCTGCCCAGGTCGACATGCTGGGGGAGACTATCAGGGACATCAAGGAGTCTTGGGCGCAAACATCCGCCCTCCCTTCCCTGCTCGCAGCCTCGTATCTCCATGAGGAAGCCTATCAAAAGGCCAAGGGCGTCAAGGAAGAGGAAAAAGCAGCAGCCGCCTGGCTAAAAAGAGCATAGCCTCGCTTATGCCATCGCAGAAGCTACGGGTGCATTTACCGGCTCAGCTCCTGCGGCATTGTATATGACCTGGCCCCGACTTGTTCATATCATGTGGCCTTAGACAAGAGTCGGTTAGAGTGTAGTAAAGTCTGCTTCTCCGGAATCTAGAGGCGCTGGAGAAGTGGTTCAAAGAGGATCTTCCAGAGCCCTGGCCTGTTGGTTTAGGGTTTAGGGCTCTTGGAGGACAATGCTGAGACTGAGAGCGCGAGTTTGAAGCCCCTGAAAGGACTGGGTGAAGAAAGCGGAGAAGTCCATTCCTCCTGGCTCGGGGCCATTTCTGGTCGGAGGCCTCCGAGGGATCCTTCGGAGCTGCCCCCCATCAGGGTTTGGGGCTTAGGGTCTAGG